GAAATAATATTTTGGGCCCATAGAGGACAGTTGTCCAGTTTCTTATAGTCCACAGTTCAGCTAATCCTCCCAATCTGAAGGCAGCAGCTGTTATTCCCACTCTTTTGTTAGACAAAACCCAAGCTGAGCATTACATGCCTTGCAGAGAGGGAGGAAAAAAAAAAACTGGGAGAGAAGAATAGGCCTTATGTCTGGGTTGGACATGAGAGCAAGGGGAACCATGGGGGTCTCAATAGGAAATGCTTTTCATTGGATGAGGGGTATTATTAGACGGTGAAATCCCTCCCAGTCCCCTGTGTTTTGCCATTCTTTCAAAACCAATCACAAGCTTTCTAGAGTTTATAAAGAGAACTGGCAGGGAACACAGCTCCCCCACAAAAGAATTAACATGTTAAGCTCTGCTTTTAATGAAGAATACCCATTTCCTGCTCAATTAGTTTGCAGGAGGGGTGTGAAGGCTAAAAGGGTCTCTCAGACCCAAATAATGAAGATGGTGTTTTATAGCACACATTTATATTATCCATTTGGTGGGTAGTTTATAAATTACAATGTAAGAAAAAGAAACCTTGTTGGTGGCTAGAAAGTTTTTTTTCTTTCCCATTAATGTAATGAAGAAACATTGCAAAGGGTTAATGTGGTCTTCCCTTCAAATACTTGTGAATGCCGGTAACGCAGCACATATTTTCTGTAATCCGTGAATTTCATCATGAATAGATCTCATTTTTAAAATATACTTAATAAATCCCAGCATTATTTTAGTGGTAATTGCAGATTAATGATGGCAGATTTCTAAGATTGAAGAATTGTGACTAAGCAACTGCGCATTCTGATGTCAAGTTCATGCACGCTCATTTGCTGCATTTGCTGCGTGTCCGCATTGAGTTCAAAGGGGCCTGCACGTGTGACAAACGTGGTAAAAAGCTCATGTACCAGATTTTGCAACATGCGTTGGGCAATTTTTGCTTCCGCATTTGCAGGTGTGCAAACGCGGAGCTAAAACGTGCATCTTCCTGACCGCATTTGTAGTGCCCTTAGAAATTAATGGCAACATAAGCACGTTTTGGCACGTTTCCGTCAACGCGTGCCAAACGCGCACCAAAACATGCACTATAACAGGTTTTGGAGTTCAGACTTTCTTAACAACCCTAAATTCAAAACTGAATGCATTTTTGGCGTTCCAATTAAAATTCCGATTTTAGCCATCGAGTTTGCTTTAGATATAATAGAGTTGATGATCATTTAAGGTAGTTGTATCTTTTCTTGTTCATTCAGTAAAATGTGCACCAATGTGATGAAAACTGACATTTCTTCCAGCATGCAGAACATTTTTTGTACAGTTGGAAAGTTAATTCAAGCCAGAAGCAGAATAAAGTCTTGACACTTGTTACAAGAAGGGCATCTCAGATCGTTGTTTTAAGTACAGAACGATTGCCAAATCACGCAGTCGGTCAAGGTGGGAATTCATCAAAACTGGAGCAGGCAGACTCTGGAGCCCATTGTTTTCATTGTCAAATCTTTACTGAACAAACTGAAGATAGAAGCTAATTGGTTACTATGGGCAACTGCTCCAGATTTTGTCTGCTCCCGTTTTAATAAATTTGCCCTAGTATGCATTATTGTGTTATGTACTCTTTTTCTTATGGCTGATGAGTGATATGTATGAAAGAACATTTGAAAAACATGCACATTTGGGTGAATGTGTATGTTGGGTCAGTGGAGGACGGAGCACTCCGATACCAGTTTATGTTGGGAGAAAGTTGTAGGGCAGCCAATTTCAGCCAGGGTCCCTCCAGGGTCCCTTGAGCAGTAGTAACACTACTTGGCAGAGCCAATGGCATGACACCAATGATCTTAGCTGTCTGTGAGCATTGCATTATTCCCAGTGACTTCCTCCCCAATGGAAAGATGTATTATTTCTACTGATCCCGAATGGTGGAGGAGAAAAGGTGGGAGAAAAGCTGCTGTGGAGAATGGCTGGGAAATTGTAGCCAGGCCAACCAGTTCTTTCTTCAAAAATACTCACTCTGGACAGGACCGCTCAGATGGACATAAATTACGGAAGACTGGGCAAACTTTCTCCTTATATAATTTTCAATACATGGGGATGACCTTGGCTCATGTATTTTGTTCTTAAAAAAAAAAAAATATCTATTATATCCGTTCATGAGTGATCATTCAGAAACAATTCCACAGTTCAAAGAGGTCAGATATGTACATCGGTGCCGGTGGCCAAATCTGTTGCGGGTCTGGCAACCTACAGCGAAGACAGAAATGTGAGGTCCTGAAATGCCAGTTTATGAAGGACAGTTAAAGTATACTATATGAAGTTCAGAAGTTTGTGGACACTCGGCCATCTCACTGATCCGAGCTTGTTGGACCTCATTCCAAAACCAGCAATAACAGAGTCATCATACCCCCCCCCCCCCGTGCGCCATACATT